TTCATTTTAACTTTCCTCGTGTAAACGTACCTCAATGTGGATTGGATCATTCTTGCATAACCAATTACAGAAGTTACATCGCATTTCTATAATTCATACCACAATTCCTCGCGGTATAGTCCAGCTCTGCGAGGAACATGGCGAGAAGAGACGTAATTCCAGTTCGTGACTTTCAATATTTTCTCCGCGCGCGCACATCGACGGGAATCCGCGAAACGCCGCGAAATGTCACGGCGAATACCGGCCGAATATTGCGACGAAATCGCGCATGGCATCTCAATGGAAACGATACGGGGTGGCACGTACACGGTTCTATGTTTAACCGTTCCCTCGGCGGTGTTCGAATAGCCGATCGATCGGCTGTTGCCACTCGGTCGTTCGATCGCCCGCCAAAAATAAAACCCGCGCCGCGACCGCTTTTCAACCGCGCCGCGGTCGCGGCGTTCTCCCGTAAATCGCGGATCTCGCGATAACGCACGTGCTTCATTGTAATATTCGCGATTTACATCACATGTTCGCCCGCGGCGTGACGCGCGCGCGCGCGCACACACACAGACGCGTGTGCAATCGCCGCGGCTTTTCCCCGTTTCTTCTGCGAAACGAACCGTTTCATCTCGCTCGTGCAATCGTGCACTTTTTTTTCTCCCCATCGATCGCAGCCCGCTGATACAGATTCCGCGGAGGACTCGAATCAGAACCGGAACGTACGTTCGGGCTCGAATAAATATTAGGTCATTGCACAACTTCTGTTGTACTTTTGGACGAAACTAGAACCGGCGCAATATTGAAAAGGAATTTATTTCATTGATATACCGGCCATTATATTATCAGCTTGTAAAGGTAGTACGCAAGAAAAGTCTGACAATAATTACGCGTCAAAGATAAGCGCGCCAAATACAACAGAAATTACGCAGCAACCTAATACGTGTGACTTGATTTGAAAACATTTACGTTGATAACAGATTTCATTACACCACACAGCTAGAAAAGAATGTTTAGTATTTGTAATTACAATCACACAGAAAAACGATCGCTACAAATTATGGCTAAGGAAATAATTTATTAATAGTTAATAATTATTTTAATAATTAATAAAATTATTAATAAAGTATTAATAATTTTTTTTTTTATTAAACTCTACAATAACGTTAGCAATAATAACCTTATATGCATGTCTACATTGTTCATGTCAGAATAAGCGGAAAAAATGGCTGAAAAATAAATATAATTTCAGTTTAATCAAGCATTTCGTTCTCTCAGCGTAGGCGTTCTAATTTCTGTTTTGTCTTAATAATAGTCACTTTCTCGAAGCGCAATTACGAAACGCGCAAATATCACGTGAAGCGAGCATAGACCGCATCGGAGGGGCGTTATGGAGAACTTAATTGTACCAGCATGTAAGTTGGCGGATAATCAAATTGACATCGCTCGCAGAAATTCTGGGGAAAAGGTCTCTCTCGCGCTGTCTCTACTATCTCTCTCTGCCCCAAAGGTCAGAGGGTCGTGCCGGAAATCCCCATAAGAAGGAAACGCGGAACACGACCGGTGTACGTGCGCATTCGCGGTAGCGCAGTACGTAATTCCCGAATCACACGGGGTGACTTTCATTCGTTCGGTTAAAAATACACGCGTGGAGCATCAGCGAGAGAACGAGACTCACCGCTGTCCACAGCAGGTAACTGCGACTCTCTGAAGTGAATCAGTGAATACCCAGACAGCATGCATATCTAAAAGATGTCGAAAAGATATCTAAAAGCCATCTTATGCAACATTTTGTTGCATAAGACTTCTTCTCGACATCTTTTAGACATGCATGTTATCTGGGTAGCCACTGATATCAGTCATAAGTACAGCACTGAGCAGTTTCAGTGCTGTACTTATAGCTGCAAATCAGTGTGTATTTACTGCTTTCAATGACGTTTCATTGATTCATTTTGAGACGAGCAGGGTGTCGGTGTGAACGTGCGCGCGTATATTCCGGATTATGATTTCGCGGAGCCTCGTGACGAGTCAATATCACCCGGCGACCTTTCGCCTCCGTTTCTGCGAAATCACCTTTTGGCCGATGTCGACGTCGATATGTCACGAAGGCGCAGATTCCTCATCATCAGCACGACCACGCGTCCGATCATCGCCGTGTTTTCCATAAGCACGGGCGAAACGCAATACGCAAGTCACAGTTTCCGCAACTGAATGGCGCGAACGGCAAAATCGTGTCATGAACTTTGCTCTTTCGCACGCTGCTCTCCACCCACGGTTCAATATGGGGCATAAACGCAGCATTCACCATGGAGCAGGAGCGATACTATAACTCCCGACGCGCCAACGACACTCTCGCCGTATTTATTTGACCTTTTTCGAACCGCGGAATATAAACGTGTTTGCGCGCTTTTCCCGGAAAATACAAATAAATCTTGCGGCACACGCTAAACGCGATCACGCAATACCGGGCTCGTGGTAAATACGCGATACAAAAAGCCTCATTTAACGGCGATTTCAAAAAGAGAAGCACCGTATGAACGACTCATCAACTGCCGCTTTCCATTCAACTCCCTCAAAGAACGCCAGCAATTATACGTTTCAGGGGATGCAGCTGTAATGACCCTCACTTCGCCGTGTGTTGTCAAGGTCAAGGTTATAGCAGCTGCATTCTCGAAAATGTGCATAATTAACTGCAATTTATGACGCGTTAAACGCGACGAAAACTGTCTCGTCTAATGCCCGTTTCTACCAACTTTGGTTAACTTAACCGGTTGGTTATTCCAATGGAATTGATCAATCACATTTTTCCTTAATCAGATTTGATAGATGTGATTGGTCAATTCCGTTGGAATAAGCCGGTTAAGTTGACCAAAGTTGATAAAAATGGGCATAAGTGAGAGTAACATTGCTTGGTCGTATACCTAATCCTGGACATTCTTACTGTTTCGATCTTTAAGTACGAATATTTAGGACCGATTTTTCAACGGTAGAGCTTAACAGAGCTTAGTAGAGTTTAAAGTTAAATCTAAGTTTAAACTATATATTGTTGAAAATCGGCCCATTAAACTTTAACATATACGAAAAAAAAGGTTTGGTTGAATTAACCAAATATCTAGTCGAATATGAACGATCCAGAAATTTCAATTGAAGTAATCCGAATTCTGTTTAAGTTAACCAAAAATCTTGTTAACTTAAAAAGAATTCGGGTTACTTCAATGGGAATGTCTGGTTCGTTCATATTCAACCAGATATTTAATTCAACCAAACCTTCTTTCCATATAGAATATATTAAAACGTAGAATATATTTAAACATATTCATATGTTTATTCTATGTGGCAAGTTTAAATATTCGTATTTAAAAACCAAAACATTGAGAATAGATTAAGTACGTGTTCAATATTCTGTGATATTCCATGAATATTCTTTGCGAATATTTATATATTCTGTGTACCTATACTATAAAAAATCTTGTTCACATATTCACAGTACATTCATAGCATATTCAACGATATAACCATTAATGTTGTCTAAAATGTGTATGTATAGAACATTTACAGAATGTAGATTAATCATTAATTTTGCTCTTGCAATCGTAGAAGAATAATGTTTGAGCATTTTATTTCGTAGATATTGTCACTGAAATATAATAAATGCACATTTTCCTATTTGGAACATTATGAAAACCTTACAGTTACTCGGATGCGTTGCATAGCCCTTGAACCTTACAAACGTTCTAAGAACATTGTGTTTTCTACACTGAAAGCTGATGTGTTAAATTTAACACATTTCATGTGTCCCAAATCATCCACTCTCATTTATGTGTGAATTTAACACAAAACAAATGTGTTAAAAAGTAACACACATAATATGGAAAAAATTAATATAAGAATTTAACACTTAAATACCGTTAAAAATCACAGGTTGTATTAAATTGACATATTCAATATGTCAGGCATGTCAGATTATGTCAATTTAACATTTTTATTTCATCAAAACCGTAGATTAATATTTCTCTCAAATGTTAAAGTAACGTTTCATTTTAGTTAATTTAATATATGTCATTTATACATATGTCAATTTAACATTTTTATTTCATCAAAACCGTAGATTAATATTTCTCTCAAATGTTAAAGTAACGTTTCATTTTAGTTAATTTAATATATGTCATTTATACATATGTCAATTTAACACAAACTGCCCTGAGAGAAAAAAATAGTTGGAATAACTATAATCTCATTATATTTTATAGTTCGTTTTGGCCTCAAACATATATTTATTGTTCATCCAAAACCGAAGATATAGCAGAATGAACACACATTTATAGTCACCATTTTATTACTCTATGTGTATAGTAAGGCACGCTTTGAGAATATAGTTATATGTACCCATATTTTCCAAATATTCCAAATGTATTGACTATATAAAATAGTTAATTTGTCTTACCATTTAATATTTACTACCTTACTATGTTTTTTATTTCAAATAATTATAATTCTTAGTAAAAGTTTTACATAAGTCAGTTATACTATGCTTATATTATAAATATTACAAACATTATGGTGACATTTACTATAAAAAAGATATTCCTAACTATAATTTTTTTACTATGCCATTATAGTTCCAAATATCATACATTTTTCTTTCAGTGTGTGATTCCTGACGGCATTCAAGTGTCAAATTCTTGTGTTAATTTTTTACATATTATGCGTGTTACTTTATACCACATTTGTGTTAAATTTACACAAATGAGAATGGATGATTTGGGACGCATGAAATGTTAAATTTAACACATCAGTTTTTACAGTATATTATAAATACGAAAAACTCTGCTTATTGAAGAATATTGAAGAATATTGTACGTATATCCGCAGAATATATCAGACTCGAATATCCCGGAATCAAGAACATTCATATTGTATAAGAATATTCACAGAATATTGTATGCTATCTCTGAGATGCGCACAGATTCAGCCTCTGCTTCTCCGTGTGACTGAGACCACGGCTCTTCTTCTTCCAGGGCTTCCGAGGGTGGTCTAGCACCGGATGCGGCTGCAGGTGCGGGAGCCGGTCCCGATGGTATCGTCGGCGGTCCGAGGACACCCCAGCAGATTGCTTCTCAAAAGCGATTGCAGGCGACGCAAGCGCAAGTCGACGAGGTCGTCGACATCATGAAGACGAACGTCGAGAAGGTCCTCGAACGTGATCAGAAGCTTTCTGAGCTCGACGACCGAGCAGGTGGGTATCCCCGCTGACGAGGATTCGATCTATATCGCGAGTAACGACGCTCGCAGTCGCTGTAAGCCGCGTGCGGGGATCAATTCACCCGATCTCGGCCATAAATTCGCGCCCTCTTTCCGCCCCGAATTACTTATCGTCCCGAATTATTTATCTCTCTATTACGGAGGAAAAAAGAGATGGCTAATCTCATTGAAATTATAACCCTCTTTTGCAGCTGCGAAATTATATTTTTTTTCAGTGCTCTGACAAAAAAGTGACGAGATATATACGGAAATAAAGAACATTCTTATTTAAAGAATATCTATATTCTCAACATGTTCATGTTGAAATGAGATTTTGTAGCGTTAAACAGAGAAAACTTGCTTACATGAAGAATATAGTTAAGAATATGAATATAGTTTCACTAAAACTATAATATTCTCGTTATTCAAGAATAATTTTCTTAAATTGAGAATAATGAATATTGGACGAAAAGAACGATATTTTTAAACCAAAAATTACAATTTCTTTAACTTGAAATTATCTATAGTGGACTGCCATAACATTATAATATTGTTGAAATTTAAAAACATTAAATCATTGTAGGAAAATAATATATTCTTGCTTATATATGAAACAATGGTTACATCCATTAGAATATGCAAGTTTTGAATTGTTAAAAACTCATTATTAAAAACTCTGCTTAGAATACTGTTTAACTCATTGTTTCATATATAAGCAAGAATATATTATTTTCCTACAACAATTTAATATTTTTCAATTTCAACAATATTATAATGTTATGGCAAGATTACGAGAGTCCACTATAGATAATTTCAAGTTAAAGAAATTGTAATTCTTGGTTAGAAAATATCGTTCTTCTCGTCCAATATTCATTATTCTCAATTCAAGAAAATTATTTTTGAATAACAAGAACATTATATTTTAGTGGAACTAAAATATTATATTTTAGTGGAACTATATTCAATTTCTTAATTTTTTTCCGTGTAGAAAGAATATTATAATTTTTTATTTCATAAAAAATTCTTCTCAACTTTATTATGTTCCTTATAATATACTGTCAGTCTCTTGGTGAAGAAGATAGTAAATATCGCAAATTTGTTAAGGATCTTAATTAATTTTTACTATCGAATTTATATTTCACTTCCTAGAAATAAATAGAATACATGAAATGAAAAGTTAGCCAATTGTTATAGGATGTCGATCTATTCCTCGCTTAAAAAATTCTATAACAACTTTTACTATTCTAAAACTATTTTAAATTTCTCTCTACATATGTGTATGTGTGTGTGTGTGTGTGTGTGTGTGTGTGTGTGTGTGTGTGTGTGTGTGTGTGTGTGAAGTCATCATTAATACCGAGGCAACGCTTACTAAATAAACGATTTCCCCGACTGTAATTGCTTCGCAGTGCAACTGCAGTCACAAATACCACTTTTTCTTCAGTGTACGGCGTGTATTTATTTATTACTGTCCATGTATGCGCCGCGTATCCTACATATGCTCTCTTTGCGCAGTTTACATCGCTTTCACATCGGACGTTCGCGCTGAGCAAGAAATTAACGAACGCCAAGCGATTAATTAACGCCCGAGGCTCGCGATCCAAACGCGTTCGGAATTAATCTCTCTCTTCTAGATATTCTACACTACAGTTACTGACTTAAGGAAACGCGACTATAAACGTGCTTTTATACGTTCTGCGTTACACTGCGATTTATATTACGTGCGTCACACGACGCGATGTTAAATCATTATTCACGTCCGATACGCTCGTACTCGGCGAGTAGGAAAAGAATAGGAGAACTAGATAGAAAATATGCCCGCGCGAAGAATATACTTTCCATTCATCGCGTCGCGGCAATAAAGTAGTTCGACCCTGCGCGTCTGACTACACGTTGATATCGATTACTGAGCGGTGACACACTCGAATCGATGCCACGTTATGTAGCTATGTGTGTACGTGTGTACGTATGTATGTAATATGTCTGTGTGTGTGCGTGCACGCATGCATCGATTTTACCTCGTGTAGTCCGTTCGCGTGCGTACGGAGAAAAATAATTTTGCTCCTTTAGCAAAATCATCGTTGCTACTACATATTCGTAGTGACATAAAAAAAATTTGACGTAACTAATTTTACAAATTATTCGTTATCAGAGCACAAGTAGTTTCGTTATTAGGATAGACAAAATTTATTGAGTGTATTTGTCCTACACGGAGAAAAATAATTTGCTGATCCAGCAAATTTTCTGCTGGTCTAGCAAAATCTTTTCGTATGTGGATAGTAAAAAGATTTGCTACTATCATTATTTGCTGGATATAATTTAGAATCTACAAATTATTTTGCTATAAGAACCACGATGGATTTATATAAGCAGTTGCAGTTTTGCTCCGATAGCAAATAAATTTGTTAAGGATACATTATTTTGCATCAATAGCAAATTAACGTGATTCTTATGACAAATACACTCAACAAATTTTTTCTATTCTGGCAACGAAACTACGTCTGCTCTGATAACGAATAATTTGTAAAATTAGTTACATCAACTAAATTTTTTGATGTCACTATGAATATGCGGTAACAACGACGATTTTGCTAAAAGAGCAACATTATTTTTCTCCGTGTAAGAATCACGTTAACATGTAAAATTAACTACACGTTAATGTAAAATAATGTATCTTTATTTTATTTTAATATATATACACACACACATATATATTTATCTATTTTATTCTTTAATTTATTTGCTATCGGAGCAAAACTGCAACTGCTTATATAAATCCATCATGGTTCTTATAGCAAAATAATTTGTAGATTCAGCAAATTATATCAATTATATCATTCAGCAAATTATAATTATATTAGTGATTAGTACTCTTAGCAAATCTTTTTGCTGTGCATATAATAACGAAAAAATTTTGCTAGACCAATAGCGGAAAATTTGCTGAGCCAGTAAATTATTTTCTCCGTGCAAGATTATTTATCATTGACTAAATATACGCGTCGAATTTTGCATTGATAAGACGCCACGACTTGTGGTTGCTCGACAAGCGCGTTTCTCAAGCAAAGCTACGCGCCACCGCGACGCCCCAAACGAATCTATGCTGACGCATGTCGCACAATTGATTTTTGCAGATGCACTTCAACAAGGAGCGTCACAATTCGAACAGCAAGCGGGAAAGCTGAAGAGAAAGTTCTGGCTACAAAATCTAAAGGTGAGCCCTTTTGCTGTTGGAAGGTCACGAGATATTTTCTCAGACTCAGATCTCAGTATTAATAGATATTACCCTGCAAGCTGTCTCACGTGAGATACGCAGACCTTTATTCAGAGTTGGATGCAAGTTTTGATGATTAAATCATAATACACGTGACATTTATATCCGTTGCGATTCAACTGAAGAACTCTCATCTAACTCTGAATTGAAGTCTTAACATCTCATTTAAGACAAGAGTCTCAAGTAATAATTGTTAATACAAGTCCATATTAAGATCTGAAAGTCTTAGTTGAAACAAGTTTCAAATAACGGCTATTTACTTTAGATACCCTAAACTATGGTAAATTTTATCCAATGCATTTTCATTTGCTTACATCTTCCGTGAAAGTGCTCAAAACTTAATATTTTTTATCGATTTAGAAAGAAATATGAATAAGAGTCTGCTAAGAATATAAATCTCGAAGAATATGAATCTGCTAACGTTGTTACGATTCAATAAAGTTGAAGAAAGTTACAATGAAAAAAACAAAACAAAAAACAAACTTGGTTATGGCTCCTGGCCCCTCGTATTGGCTATCTCTTTTTAATGACGTCAGAAACGAGAAAATGCATGTTAAAAACTCTTGCGAAATACGTTAAAATAAAAATATATGTCCATAAAATAATATTTGCACAATCGATTAAACAAATTTGTAAAATATTCCGTGCACTCTCCTTTTGCTCTAACAATCAATAATTTGTCGTAAATTAATGTGACGTACAATTTATCTTTTTAACCTATTTCTTCGTCTATTTCTATTCAGGTTAATTTACAATAAATTATTGATTATTAGAGCAAACATGCACGGAAATATCTTACAAATTTGTTGATTACAAATGGATTGATTACAAACATAAATTTACAAATAGATTACAAATAGATTGTGTGTGTGTGTGTGTGTGTATGTGTGTGCAAATATTACTTTATGGATATATATTTTGATTTCAACGTATTTCGCAAGAATGTTTAGCATGCATTTTCTTGCTTCTGACGTCATTAAAAAGAAACAGACAATGCGAGGAGCCTTAAGAACGATAACGTTTGAAGAGTTGATCCGGCTGAATGTTTGGAGTTCAGTTTGGGGTTCCAGGGTGAATACGAGATTCAGAGATTCTTTACTCACAAAACGGCGTATGCGTTTTACGAGTACAGCGTCTCGCTAGCGTAAATAATTGCGATATTTCAGTAATGAAAAAGTGGTGAGACCTGGATAATGATCGCTCGTGTCTTTCTCTTTCCCTCACAGATGATGATTATCATGGGCGTCATCGGGTTAATCGTATTGGCCATTATTGTCGGTAAGTGTTTCACTGACACGCCGCTTAACGCAGCTGTCAACGACGCCACCACTGTAACTGTCTCAATGTTTTGTTTAACCATTTCGTTGATGTGTATCTCTCGTCCCAATTTCGAGCGACTAATTCAGAGTTATCCTCCTAACGATCGCGTTCTCCAGCGTTGGCAGCGTCGGCCATGCCGGCGCGATTAGACCGACTGGGGGTCGCGTTTCGAGACACGTCGAGTTTATTATTTAGATAAGCCGCGATGTGAGAAATTAATGTTCTCGCTCTCTCGAGGCCGCAATCGATACGCGGACGAGCATTAGTTATTTCCACGACTACGCGATATATCTCGCGGGTGAATGTCCGTTTAAAGCCATCCGCTGATAGCTTCCGTGATGTATCCATTGTTTGGCCTGAATCGGTCGTTCCTGACTACTGTCTCTCTGTCGATCTATGTCCCTCGTGCTAAGGAGACATCCACCGGGCGATTGTGTTGCGACAGTGTGACAAGCGTTTTGTTTTTGTTCCTTTTTCTCTTGGTTTGTCCGCGAGTCCACACGGCTCTCTCGGGGAAATCTTGAGTCCCACGGGAATACCTCTCCTCTCATCAGCAGCGTCGAAACAGATTGTTTATCGCGCTTTGCTTTGAGCGACGAGGCCATCTCGACTCTGGATAGCTATTTCTTTCACGGAACCTTCACGAAAGTTCTCGCTCCCGTTCCTAGGAGACGACTCTCGTCTCACGTATCCTCTCGAGTCTTGAACGATGAGAAATTCATTAGAGCAAGATTGTCCAGTCTTTGGTGCTTCACGAGAACACACAATCGGAGTATTGCTCGCGCTTGCAACGGTGCGTCTTAGTCGCGCGAGAAAGACACCTTGCATGATCCGTTTGAAAAGAAGAAAAAAGAGAAAACAGAAAAGAAAAGTAGCCGTCTCCCTACTCAGCCCTCTATCCATTCATCATCTAACGTGTGAAATGTATGTATTTCTCTTTTCTTATCTAGCGAACTTCATGTAGGCGCGCTGATTCGTGGAAGAGATTTGTGTGTGAGTGAGTCTGAAGGTAGAAAAGCAAGACAATTGCGACATTGCGTACCATTGTTGTTTTACATCCTCGTTTTCTCATGACCCTCCCTCTTTTCTTTTCCCTTTTTTCTTTACGTGTCGTAGAATGTACTCAAAATCCGTACGTAACTCTTAAACTCGTTGTTGACCATCCGACACCGAGAGAACCCTCCCCCAAAGCTTTCGACATTTTCCCAAATTTGGATGATGTTACGAGATGTGCCAAAGTGCTTCCAGTTTTATAAGGGATTAAACGGACACGAATTTCACGTTTGAGCGTTAACTCACGTCCGCGCTTTGCGAAAATGTCTCGTTGTTTCTATAATAATATCGTGTTATTATTCTAGTGTCGTACACTGAGATAGAAAAAAATCTAAGAAATGGTAAATATTTATGTGGCGGGTACACTACGGCATGTTTACTAGTACTAATATCATAAACACACACATATTTCACTTCAAATAAGAAAATATACGCTTTCTTGGGACCTCGATTTTTCGCGAAAGCAATTGTTCTGTTCAAATAAAAGAATTTAAATTTGAATAAATATGCTGTTAGTAGCCCGACCAAATTAATGCTTACCAATTTTTACATATTCCTCTCTCCGTGTATACACTCCGTTTGTCTCTCTCTCCCTCTTAAATGATATTTGTCGTCATCTGCCGTGGACGTAGACGCGCTCAGAAATACGTGAGGGAAATTCGTGCATTTATAAAACTGGCACTTCTAGTCGGTGTTACGTTGTCTGCCTGTGATAGGTAACTGCTGGTATTTCTGTTGCTACATGTATCCCGTATACAAGAACCCGTTGCTCTCCACCTCCTCCTAGAGTCGTTGCATATTTATGAGCGGAGCGATTTAATTGGGAAGTGCTCCAATTAAGAATCACCGTTGATTGACGATACGGACACGGTGTGCGCGCTTCATAAATTTTCGACGACGCCGCTCCGTTATTCCTGGACTTGTTTCCACGTCACAACGACACGATGGTGTTGCGAAGCCAACATGTCGTGGCACATACATGCACGAGCGATCCGCGGAAGTCTTGCCCGTCGAATGCCACTCCCGCTGGAAGTTTGGCCGGAATGTTTTGTCCATCGGCGCGTTGTTTCCGACGCGTCCCTCTAAATAAAATCCGCAGGACGGGAGGAAGTGACGTGCGGCGGCGACTTTTAATAACTTTAGCGTCGAATCCCCGCCTGTCCCGTTTTTCGCGTTTCGCCCTGTATATACGCGGAATGTTCTAAAACGGAATGTTCTCCGCAACACAACCATATACCTCGCCCTATGTGTGTGTGTTATTACGACTGTATAATTGTTGTTATATATATATATGTGTGTGTGTCTATCTGTACTCTCGGTGGTATCCTCTTTCTGAAGTTGGTCCCAGGCAGTGATTTTCAATTTTCTCTGGTGGTCGATTGATGAAACCGAAACGAAAAAAAAGCAAAAAAAAAAAAACAGAAAAAGAAAAAAGACAAAAAGAGTGCGTAAGCGCGCGGAAAACAAGAGACTTGTGACTCGCGAATCGTGGGAGAAGCAAAGAAACGATAAATAGATGTACCACCAGGAAATGAAAACACAAGAAATGAAAAACACCACAACGACAAAACGACAACATCAACAACAATAACAACAACAATAACAACAGGCACAAAATCGCTCCTACCGACAACAATATAAGAATTTTTACCAAACAACAACTACAACTACAACAACAAAAAAATGGTCTCAAAGTTTTTGTTTAATCCTATTCTACTCTTCAGTACGGTAAGCTATGATTTCTTATTGTTGCACTTGATACAACTTTTTCATCTTTTTCTCTCTTCTTCCGCCGAAGTGCAATTTGAATCTTTCTCGAGCACCTTACCTTATGATTTGATCTCATTTTGTTTTTTTCTTCTACATATATATACGAAAGATTCTGCTTAAAAATCAATACGATATGGCATTACATCTTACATAGAACGTATTCTTCATTTTTCACGTATTCTCCTGCGTTGAGTCGCGCTTCTAGACGCGCGATTGTTTCGATTCTATTGAGACTCAAAATTCGCACACCGACTCAACGCGACTCGTTCGACTTAATTTCGCGCGTCGCGTACACTGAGAGAAAAATTATCTTAAAATCAACAAATATTTCCTTGGTGGGTGCCATTAACATATTTACTTAAATCTACATTCTCTTTACTTAAATCAAATATTGTTTACTTGATTTAAATAAACAGAATGTAGATTTAAGTAAATATGTTAATGGCACCCACCAAGGAAATATTTGTTGATTTTAAGATAATTTTTCTCTCAGTGTAGATGTTTTAGTCTATATTTTGTTCTGCGCGTAATATATATATATATATATATATATATATATATATATATATATAT